ACACACAAGAATACATGGAATGGTACACTGTCAATTCCATCTATTGCCTATCTGTGTCACCACTACTACAAGATCCAAGGAAGAGCGACCAACAACTAAGGACTACCAACACATTTGAAATCAATACGACTTCCACACTGTTGTACTACAAGATTGCATCAATTCCTCCGAACATTACGCTAGAAGCAAGCATAATAAACATAAGACATTCGTTTGTAACAACATCGGATGATTTTTTTACAAACTTATTTGGAGTTGATTTTACAACTCCATCTTGAGTACAAACTTACATACAGTCTCTTTATCAACCAGATTTTGCTAATGAACCTGGTAATTCATCAAATGCATTCTAACAACTAGACCTTCATGATGATCCAAATCCTCCACAACTTCATCTTAAAATCCCACAGCAACAACCATAACGACGAAATTCACCACATCACAGACGTCGCCTTTGTTGTGGAACTGACTACTATTACAGAAATAGTTAATTATTAATGTTGTTATGAATTTGTTATTATTTTTATTAATGCACTTTGTCTTCATCAATGTTACCTTAGTAATATGAAAATATTAATTTTAAAATATTTGTCTCAAGTATAAATAATTAACTTATAATTTAATATTTTATTTACTTTTTAAAAATAATTTTTGTATTCTAAAATAAATTTATTAAAAATTATAATAGTAAAGTTTTAGAGTTTAGGGTATTAAAAATTATAATATTAAATAATATAATTTTTTAAAAAACTAATTTAATTAAAATAAAATTTTTATTCAAAATATCATTTTATCATACTAATATTTAAAAATACTAACTCAAAATAACATATTTAAATAAATAAATAAGCAGAACAATATTTAATATAATTATTATTCTTTAAGTATAAATAATTTAAGCATTAACATTATTATCTAAAATAATATACTTATTATTTAAATATTTTAATTAGTTTTTAAAAATATTATTTATTATCTTAAATATGTAAAATAAATTTTAATAAACATATAAAATAAATATTATTTTTATTTTTATTTATTTTTAAATAATATAAAAATATAAACATAATTCAAATAATAAAACTTATTTTATTATATATAATTAACAAAATATTTATAAATATTTATTAGAATAACATATTATAAATATTTATTTTAATAAAATATAAATATATAAATATAATTTAAATAATAATATTTATTTTATTATATAAAAATATAAAATAAAATTTAAAAATGAAAAAAAAAAAACTTAAGTCAGAGTTCGGTTCTCGAAAACTGAATTTTGGCTGGTAAAAATATGCTAATTAAAGGGATTTATTTGGATAAATAATTAGGTGAAGAATCTATTTATGTATTTTTTTAATAATTTTTTTGTAAAAAATTCGGTCAAGTACTAACATTAAAATAAAAAAAATATTAGATTTATTTATTGAAGATTTCAAAGAGACCACTCTCACCGACACATGCATATATTTATTTGACACTTGTCCAGCACGAGACTAACTCCTTTTATTATTAGATTTATTTAATGCGTATCTAAGTGCAAATAATAACAATTTATATATAATAGACTTTTAATAAAAAAATATTATTTTGGTAAACACAGGGCAAACCTAGATTTGTCCCTTCGATTTAGGTTTGGTGTTTCTCAAATCTTTTGTAACTTTTATTATTGGTACTAACCGAGTGTACGTCAATTTAGAAATATATAACATATTTTAAAATGATTAAAAAATAGTATTAATTACTTTACATTTGATAATACAGTAAATATATTTATAATCTGAAATTGAGAGTGAAGTTTTGAGGTTGTACACGACAACAAAGAGGCAAAGTGGTAGGCTAAGTAGCTGTTCGCGCGCCTTTGCCAAATCCTATTCACATGGACGCCATTAGGAACGTTCAGCGTTGCAGTTCTCACATGCACCTCTCTCCCTCTTTCTTCAAACATTATGATTTACACAAAAAAACAAAGAGAATAATATAAAGGGGGCATTTTCATTCTTAACTCCATGAAAATTAAGCAACCAAAAATAGAGTTGTAATTAAGGGGTAGATATCCACTTGGGTTGAGTATTCGGCACTCAAATGCGGTTTTCTCGACCGTAGATATTGCTGGATTATTAAGATGTAAAATCTTACATGAAAAATACGCAACTTCACAATTGATCCAGTCATGGAAACTCTTTAATCCGCTTGACCAGAGTCTTCAGCACAAGTCAAATCCCATCAATGTGCACAAAACTTGGTTTCATTTTCCCTTACGTCGCGGACTTTTAAAATTTGACGTGAGAAGAAGGGAGGAAATTATTTATTATTGTTAATTATTTCTATAAAATATTTAACTTAAGTTAATTAATTATATATATTAAATTAAACATTTGACTTTCATAATTTATACTTAATAATAATTTTTTTAAAAAAAGCATATTAAAAATAAATAAAAAAAGATTTTTTAACATTAACATAAGTTAAAATTTTTTACACTTAATTTGAGTCTTTTATTTAACTCATACTTAATAATTAATTAAAATAATAAATTATAATATATTATACGTATAAGTTAAATAAAAAATTTAAATTAAATATAAAAATTTAAAATTATATTAATGTGAAAAGATACTGTAGTATTAAAAATATATTATTAATGTTTTCTTGAGATGTATCGAGAGAAGGAACACACACGACACCACCAAAAATATATGCATCAGATACGCACCAATAGAATAGAATAGCAACGGAGATGTTACGCGAAAACAAACGGATCGAGATGCCAGCTTAGGCAACTGCGTGTCGCTATTTGTGGATTATTCAAAGGCTATTTCTGCACTTCACTGCTATGGCCCTTCGTAATCACTCATCCTATCATTGCCTTGGCGTGTTTGATATGTTTTTATTTATTTTAATGTAAACGAATGTAAAAATAAAAATATTATATTTGTTAAATGTGATTAAAGTATGAGTTTAAATTGATCTTAATTATAATCTTTACACTGCAACGGCGTATGATAACAACGCAACGCACAAACTAACAAAGGACTAAAAAGGTGTGGTTGTGGGAATTGAAAATAAAAGTTGGGCGAGTGTAGCGAAGGAAGAATGTAAAATAGAAAGCATTTTGTTGATTTGTTCATTTCGGAGATTCCAAACTTGGCCTTGCATTCAATTTGGGAAATTAAAAAAGTGATTAACGCGGACCACTAAATATAATTTAAGGTCCATGTTTCTCTCTTTCTTAGATTTTGTCGGCAGTTTTGAATTGGGTACCTACCTCAATAACCTTAACCTGATCCGGTTCGTGTCTAGTTCTTGTAACTTAACCAATTGATGTTACTAAAATGATGGATCGCTTAACCTAAAACTCAACCAACTTGAAAACTTTTTAAAGTTTAAGCTGCGAAGACTTGTTATTTGTTAACTTTGGCGTTAGTTTTAGGTGTCAGAGCTTATGCTATAGAATTTGAATATACTTCATTATTTTTTCAGTTTAAAGAAAGGTGAAAATTTCACAACATTAACAGATTGTTTTGACAAGTATGGATAAATAGATCCAATAGAGAGGAGAAGGAAAACTTTTAATTCTCTCGAAATATTTCTCCACACTCCACGATAGAGACTGATCCGAACGAATAATATTTTCCGCGCAATAAAAAATAGGAGTTAAATAAAATAATATAATTTCAGCTATATATATAAATAAAAGAGTCTGATTAATTCTACGTCGGTGGATTTTAAAATCGATTATTTAGCAAGTAAAAACAAAAACGAAGCCCTTTAATGTGCATTGTGACTCGTGTTTAGAATTAACAGATGGTTCGTTTTAATTGTATAGACTTCGTTACTACGAAACAATAAAACAATTAGGCACTAAAATATAAAATGGTAAGTCTAACTATAGTTTTACCTAATATTTTTGTCCATTAAAGTATTATTTGGCTAATTAAAATATACTAGCATTGTAATTTTTTATATTATCATTTAGTTATGTATTTTTATATTAATAAAAGATTAATTTTTATAATAATTAATTTAAAGTTTAAAATTATCATATATTTTAGTTAACCAACGGTATAAAAAATTGTTACATCGACGGTGCATCAAAGTAAAACTTATTATAAATTTTATTCAAAATTTTAATCTTAAAATATATATTTATGATATTTTAAAGTTTCGTAAGTTCTAATAATGAAAATTTACAAAATTATCTCCATTTATTTATATTTAATTCATCTCTATGTAAATACTTTTAACCTTCTATTTTAAGAATAGTATAATAAACTTTTTGGTACAATATTGTAATACTTTTATATAATAAGAAACAACGGTATTAAAAACATAATAATAATAATAATAATAATAATAATAATAATAATAATATATATATATATATATATATATAGAGAGAGAGAGAGAGAGAGAGAGTACATGAAAATATAATTCTTAAAAAAATTTGAAAGGTTGAATTTACTTATATATAAGTGAATTAAATACAAATAAAAAGAAATAATCTAATAAATGTTTATAATTAAAACATTTCAAAACCTTTAAAGTATGAAAAAATTTATATAGAGTTAGAAATTTGAATAAAATTTATAATTAGTATTGATATTATTATAATTTTCCAAAAAAGGTGAATTATTAATAATTATTGTACCAAATAAGATTTTAGGAAAGGTTTTTTTTTATATCTTCAAGATATTAATATAAGTGGATTATATTAAATACATAAATAATTTTTTTATTTTTCATTATTTCCAAAAAATTAAATAATTACCACAAAACTATTTTTAAATGAAAATTCAAATTTATTATATTAAGATGAATTTAAAAATACTAATGTATTAATATTAAATATTATTATTGTAGCTGCCGAGGTACATTAAGGATACCGTTTAACTATATCTAGGGACGTAGTAGGAAGTTTAATTACAGTGAGGAGGGCACGTGTGTGAGGGGCAAGTGTAGAGAGAATGTGTTTAGTTAAATAAACCTTAAACAACATCTTAGATTCGAAAAGTAATAAAAAGCCCGGCAAACACTGTTACCTCTCCATCTCCTTCATTTGTTGTTTCTTTCAGAGTCAGAAGTGAGAAGAGCCATGCCAATGTCCAACCTCTTCTTGATTCCCATTGTTACAACACTTGTTTTCAGCTGCTGGGTTCATGCCTCTGCTGGTGCTCCCTATCAACGTCACCGCATCAATGAGACGCACTTTTCTTTGTTGGAGCCTTATGAAGCTTCCTCATCCCTCATTGGGAGGCCTCCTCTCATGGTTGGATTCACCCTTATTCAAACTGCGGCTGCTAAAGGAGCTGGTGCTATCTCTTTCCAACCTTCATTCTCTTCCACCTTTTCCTCTCCCCTTCTTCCCCTCTTTATTTTCCATCTCCTTAGTTCACGTGTGGTCAAATAACACCAGAAACGTTTTCAAATTTAGGGGCACCTTAGTCTTTTGAGAAAATGTTTATTTTTTTTTATGGATTTTGTTAACTATCAATTTGCTTTATGTTTGTAAAGATTTACAAATGAAATAGTGAAAATATTAATTTGTTTTTCTATATGAATATTCTTGCAATTAATAATGTTTTTTTTTTCAAACTAATCAGCCCAGTTGTTTAGTTGTTTTGATTCTTCTTTTAATAAGATCCATTGTTATTCGGGACGTAGTTTGTCTAATTAAAATTTGATTTTTCGTTTTTCGGTTTAATTTCTTAAGTTTTGCTTCTGAAAATTTTTAACCTCCCCTCTTATTGTGCATGTGTGGGAGTGTTGCATAATGTGCGTACAAATGCATGCGGCCTAGGCTATATAATAGCCTTGTTTGGTTGCTTGTTTGTGCCAATTAATTGTTAATTGACGAAGGCATGTACACAGAGACTAAAGCATATAGAACCTCAGATTTTGGCAATATCTAAAATTTGTAGCAGCTAAATGTACTTACCTCTTTTCTTTTGTTGTGGCAGTTTGCTTAGATGGAACATTGCCTGGTTATCATTTGCATCGGGGATATGGATCAGGAGCAAATAGCTGGATCGTTAATTTAGAGGTATCGCTTGGATATGATATTTCTAATCGATCGATTCTATAGCACGTGCTTCCTTTTACTTCTCTTTAGTAGATTTAGATTTGTACACCAAAAATAAGCATTGTAGTAGTCAAAAGAAAGGTTGATGAGTCATTCTTTTGGTATTTTAGAAGCATTACTATTGAAAATGTTGTCGGAATCGACTTTTTTCGGTGAAAAGATAATGATTGAAAATAGTCTGATAGAAAAAATTGGGACCGATACATGTCATTATTGCTGTTTTCAATTAGTGTCTTGATGAAGCTACTTCCCTGTTGCGCTGTAAAAATTTCTGTTGGTATTTAAGTGAAAATCCTGTGGCAGGGAGGTGGGTGGTGTAATAACGTTAGAACATGTGTTTTTCGGAAGAAAACACGGCGTGGATCATCAACATTCATGGAAAAAGAGATACCTTTTACCGGAATACTAAGCAATAAAGCTGAAGATAATCCAGGTTTTATTCAATTAAACTACCTGATACAGTCTATTTATGCATTCTCCTTCACTACACCCCTCATGTTGTTTCTTATGATTGCAGATTTTTTCAACTGGAACAGAGTAAAAATTCGTTATTGTGATGGTGCCTCTTTCACTGGGGATGGTGAAGATAAGGTAGATTTTGATGTTCGAGTTAAAAAATTGAGATGATATTTGATTTTGTGGTGGCTGACAAGAAGAAGAAATAACTAAAAGAAGCGTGATTACCTTACAATATCTAATTTTGCTATTAATACAGTGTCTGCATTAACATATGTTACAGCATATGTATAGATTTGATAACACTGGAGGAGAATATACGAGATACCTCTTTCTTATTTTTCTTGAAAGTTTGAATTTGATATGTTTCTTGGAGAAAATTTTGAAGCACTGGTTTAGACAAGGGCGTATTTTCCTTTTGTTGTACTGTACACATTGTCTCAATGAACTTTGCTTATTGCTAACTTACTTCATTCAGTTTTTACAATCGCAACATCTTCTGACAGTGTTAGCTGTAGATACGTGTATTTTTTGGATACAAGCGAGATGTTTGTATTCACAATTTAATTGTTAAAAAAAGCTCTCCACAGCGAGGCATGAGGAAGAGAAAATAGCATTGTTGATGACACTTAATGCATATAACTCTACATTCATTTTTATCAAATGAGGTTCATTGGACAACACTTACTTGTGAACGTCATCTATTGAGATAGGTTGCACAACTGCAATTTAGAGGACAACGTATTTGGTTGGCTGCAATGGAAGATTTGATGTCAAAGGGAATGCGTTTTGCCAACCAGGTTGTATACACACACACACTCACACATGCATTTTGCTACTTAAATAATCTTTCTTCTCACATTAGATACTACTATTTTTGCTTCAGGCTCTTCTTTCTGGATGCTCTGCGGGTGGTCTGGCTACTATTATACATTGTGATGAATTTCGAGGTCTATTCCCACAAACTACCAAAGTGAAATGTCTCAGTGATGCTGGGTTATTTCTTGATGCGTATGTGGCTGATTGCACTATTTTCATTCCCATTTCCATCATTACCACATGATTTTGGGTCCTTAAGTCATTTCTTAATTTTGTACCCTTTGAATTACAGGATTGATGTGTCTAGAGGGCATACCCTTAGGAATTTTTTCAGTGGTGTTGTAAACCTGCAGGTACCGCACTGTTTTCTCTTTTCTTGAGGTCGCTAGTTTATTATAGTATGAAAGCAAAATGTATTATAGCATTTCCTATTTCATGGTCAACTTGACAATTGACTAACAGCATTTGGTTCAACTATTTCAAAACCATAAGTTAATGTGAGATAAAATGTCAATTTTACCTAAACTTCATGTTGGATATATGCTGTTCTGATCATGGATCTTTCACATGGTTTTTAACCAAACTGAACTGATATTTTTGCAGTTGAGTTGAACTTTGAAAACCTTTGTTTAATATGAAAAAATGATCTATCACATGCCAAATAGTTGTAATGGTTTGAAACTTGGTCATTTTGACATGATTATAGCTTATACATCATTATGGTAAATATTTTGCCCATTCATTGCAGGGAGTGCAGAGGAATCTGCCTCACGTTTGTACTAATCACCTTGATCCCACTTCGGTAATCATTGATAACTCTTATTCTGAAAATTTTGAAATATCAGTTTCATTTGAATGAATATGGAGACATTTAATACTCCAATGCTCCCTCATTGTTGCTTGCTATGAGTTGACCGTTCAATGATGTATCTTTTACCCCTCTTTCAGTGCTTCTTCCCTCAAAACTTGATTGCCGGTATTAGAACCCCTCTATTCATTCTTAACACTGCCTATGATTCATGGCAGGTTAGTATCTGATTTTGTCACCTGATTGTATTGACTCCTGATAAGTCTTGCATTAAATTTAAATCAATTGTATACATATATCCTAAACAAATGTTTTCTCTATTTCTCATCAGATACAATCAAGCTTAGCTCCTCCAACAGCAGATCCACATGGCTATTGGCATGATTGTAGATTAAATCATGCTAAATGTACTACTTCACAAATTCAATTTTTACAAGGTTGTTTGATATGTGAGAAATTGCTTTCACTAGAAGTACAAACGTGTCTTCAATAAATTAGCCAGTGTAACAAGTCATTTCACTGTATCTAATGCAGGATTCAGGAATCAAATGCTGAATGCTATTAGAGGCTTCTCAAGATCAAATCAGAATGGATTGTTCATAAATTCATGTTTTGCTCACTGCCAATCCGAGAGGCAGGATACATGGTTTGCTGATAATTCTCCTGTCATTGGGAAGAAGGTGATAATGCTGTTTTAGTAAATAATATTGCATCTTGGTATGCGGTTCTAGTCACATAAAGACTCGGAAGTAGAAAAGAGAAAAAAGGAGGCTAAATGTTATATTGAGCGTATAATTACTAAATGGTAATATGAAATTCGCCACCGAATATTCACCTTGAGGAAAATTCTAGGACATTGTAAATGCATTTGTAATTTTCTTATGCTATCCTTTTCTTATATTACATGCTATTTCAGACTTAATTCTGTAACTCTAATCTTTATGCATTAACAATATGCAGGCAATTGCTCTGGCTGTTGGAGATTGGTATTTCGACCGAGCTGCAGTTAAGGCCGTTGATTGTCCTTACCCTTGTGATAATTCATGCCACCATCTTGTATTCAGATGAGCCAAATTTCATTAATCGTCACCATTTCAATCATCTCATTCATTTGGGGCCTATTCCCATATGCAATTAGCAAAAAAATGCTATTCAATTCATAAAAATGCTGGTAATACATTTTTTTTAACACATTTTATTATTAGGTGAAAGTCATGTGGGATTCACTCCTTATTTGGTGAGACTTGTATGAAATTCATCTAATGATAAAAAGTGTTAAAAAAATAAGTTAAAAAAAGCGAGCATTTTTAATTATCAAAGACAATAACAGAAAATGGTTGCTTGAAGTGCAAATTTAATAAGCCTTTTCCATGATTTAGTAATTGGTGGAAGTGTAGATTACCTAGTTGGGAATGTTGAGGCAAGTGGTTATAGTTTTTAGAAAGATTGGGAGTTAATAGACAATTAGAATTTATGTACTGTAATAGGGTAAGCATTGACAATGAGTGAATGAGATAATCTCAATCTCATATTTCGGTTTCAGATGGAATAAAAAGTTGGTCATTATTTACACCTGGTCAGTTTCATGTTACCCAAATTAAACTACGCTCACACTTCTAATATTTGTAGATTGATTGTGGATTAAATTCATAAATTCTTTCGAGTAAATTTATTTTGATTGTCACTGCCGTTGATTTTGGTGCGGAGAATTTATCTGATGTAGCGTTAATTGTTATTGTTTAGCACATAATTTGTTTATTTGTATGACGTTGTAAAACATAGCGTCGACAAATCAACCTTTGTGTTTATATGAATATACTTTTGCCACGTCAACAAATTTGTTTGCGTGTTCTTAAGTTTTAAAGCGTTTTATCTATCAAATTTTATTTTATTTTTGTTATCCATTAAACACACCACTCAAGCACAGTCACATTATTTGCAGCCTTCTCAATTATTGGTTTATTGTCTTTTCACTGTTGATATTAAGGCAATAATGCTCTTCAATCTCTTAACTTTTCGGTTTAGCTATGCTTCTCCCACTGCTAGTTTTGATTGCGAACAGAAAAATCTACACAATCTAACTGAATCTTAATTTTTAGAGGCTTTGTTCCAATGCTTTGAGGATATGAAAAAGGAAGGTTCTAAGGGGTAAGAAAAAGAAAAGAGAAGAGTTAACAAAACAAAAATAGTAATTTGGAGAACTTAATATAGTTTTGGATGATTTTTTTTTTTATATTTAAAAAATTTTCAAATAAAAATTAATATCAAATGAAAATAAAATATGATAATAACATATACGAATTCTATTAATTACCTTTCGTAATCAGAAAAGATTCGTTCAAGTGACTTGCGCTCTCAAGAAAGATCTGCTAAAAAGTTGGAGAAGATATATGCAGAATTGGGTGAGGTAGCAGTGAACATCAAGAATTGGATATATTTGATTTGCGGTTTAAAGGGGTGATTGGCATTGATGGGATTGATTGTCTCTAACGCAGTTTCCTTTCAAGTTTTGGTTTGTAAGCTTTTCTCAAGGAGAAATTTCTCTTTTGATTGTCCAGACTATATATCAATATCTTTAGGGTCGTTTAGGGAAAAAAATAAAAGGAGAAATAAGGAGAGGAAGGTTCAATTTTATTTTAAATTTGATAAAATTTTGAAATTAAAAAATTATATATTAATTATGTATTTATTACTAAATAATGTTAATTTTTAATTTAAACATAAAAAAATTCCTTCTAAAGAATCTTTCAAATACCTTTTTAGATTTTACTTGGATGAAAAATGAAATAAAGAGATAATAATAAAAAATAAAAAAAAGAGAGTGAAAAATATGATAAAAAAAAGTAAAAAAAATGTTATTTAAATGGATATAAATAAGATGAAATAGAGCAAAAAATATTTTACATATCTAAATGAGTAAAACAAGAGAATAAAATCAAGTAATTTATTTTTTATAATAAACAAATTATAAAGGTAGACAGGTTGCGGTGTTTTTATTTTAGTTTGCAGGTTAAATTTTTAAGATATATGGCTAGGGAGGATGAGAATGAGAATGACAATCTTTCAAGGGTTCTTGATCTCTATGCCACATGTGTTTGGCACTTCTTAATTATAGATTAGGAATGATGATTGATTATAGGTTCAGTAGAAAAAACCTATAAAAAATAATCACAATGAAAAGAAAAAAAAATATTCGTTAAATAAATCTAAGATTACAACTGAATATTTACTACCTAACATCCTACATATTTACACTAAATTAATATATTATTTTTCAAATAAAAACTATTACGCTTGTATCTTTATAAGTTTATAGTCACAATTTACACTTTTTTAATGTTTTAATCTTTGGATGTTAAAATAAAAAACACTAGCCCCTTATTATCGCGCTCTAACATCTTCATCTGAGTAACCATGTCATAGTAATATTGTGAAGTTATACCTCAAATTCACTAGTCAAATAACATCAATAGTTGGCCATCAATAACTTCATTTTTATAATTAGGATACCAAATAATATTTTTATTTAAAAGAACACAAAAAATTAATATAATTGCAAGTATTTATGTTTTTAAAATACAAATATTATAATACTCTTCTTTTATGTCAAATTATAATACCCTATCCAATGTCATAGATGGTACCTTTCAATTTATTTATTTATTTTGGGCGAGACGTTCCTTTCAATTTGCGATGCGATCTGTCACTTCACGCTTATGGGTGAGACTTTCTCATTGAGTTCGTTGGGCCTGCTGGTGCAAAACCAAATAAAAATGGTGAAGTGCCTTTAATATTTGTTGTGATTTCGGACTCGATTTGATCTTGGGCCAGAAGCTTGAATTAGGATTAAAAATTGTAATTTAAATCACACAAAATTTGAATATAAAAATATAAAACATGTATTTATGAGTAGGGATGATAATGGGTAAAGTACCCGATGGACACCCGCAAAATTTATCCACAATGGATAGGGTATTTACCCGCTATACGGGTACGGGTATGGGTGTGGGTAAAAACCCGCAAATTTTAATGGGGATGGGTGCGGGTATGGGTATCTAAGTACCCACCTCGCCCCATACCCGCATATATATATATATATATATACTTGAACTTTATTCTATAATTATGAATTGAATTTTTGTATTATTATATTACTTATGTGAAGTTATATAAGATTAATATAAAAATATATTTAATAATAAAGTAAACCAAAAAATTTATTTTGGTTTATATTTTTAATAAAAAAATTTATTTACTATTTTATATCATTTAATTCGGCTAACACAATTTAATTATTACATATTTAATATGAAATTGACTTTTTTTAAAATATTATTTATATATGACACACATAAAATATTTTTTACACAAATATTTTTGTTAATAAAATCATATTGATGTTTAAATCATAAGGTGAATGATAAATAATAAATATATTATAAATATTTTATAAATTTTACAATCACCTACTATTACCGTAAACTTATTATTTATTAATAATATTTAAATTTTATTTTTATATTTTAATTTAAAATAATATTTTTCTATGCAACATATGTATTACAAGTACAACTATAATTTATTAACTCTAAATAATATTATTCTTACTATTTATTCACATTCAAAAAAGTTTTTGAAAAGATATAAATTAAAAAATTATTGTTAATTTTTATTTGTTAATTTTTTAAAGATAAAAAAGTATAATTTTTTTAATATACACGTATATTTCTTTATTATAAAATTTTATTGTAACTATTTATCTTTTATTCAAATTCTTTTTTTTAAAATTTATATACATTAGAAATATTTAATTCACTAAAATAATTTTTCAAAAATTTATATTTTTGATAAAATACTTTCGTATAGTATATGAGTTAAAAAATACTAGTATTAATATATATATATATATATATATATATATTAATTATATTATATTATTTTAATTAAATCTATTATTTTTCTTACAATTTCAAATTCAAAAGTTAAAAAAAATATTTTATGTATCAACTTTCTATTGTTAGTATTGAACTTCTTTACTGTAACTCTATTCTCTTTCTCAATGTTTGTCTCACTAAAACTTAATAACGATGAAATGTTATTCATTAGAGTTAGTTGTTAATGCCGTCATAATAGGTTACTAAGTGATCCCACACGAAGGGACAACCATTGTACAGATCTATTTCGTTATCGTTCTGACATTATCAATCAATCAAATCTCATACAAGATAGGATTATCACTGACAAATAACTTGTGTGTTTAGTTTTGCTTATTGTTTCTAAGAATTTTAGTTTAGAAAATTATTATATTAAGATACATTTAACATTTATGATCTTTGAATATTTATTTTTTTATTTATATTTATACCTTGTTCGACAACTACATATTGAATTTTTGTATTATTATGCTACTTATGTGAAATTATATAAACATATTTTTCTTTATAAATATTTTTTTCTCAAATAAGCGCGGGTAATGGGTACAAGACGGGTATGCGGGTACCCAGAGGGTACGGGTACGGGGATTAATGTTCATACCCACGCGGGTATGGAGCCAAGTACAAGTATTTTTTTAAAACGCGGGTATGGAGATGGGTACTGTAGTACTCTACCCATACCCTACCCATTGCCATCCCTATTTATGAGTATACTTAAACCCATAAAATAAATACAAAAATCATATTAAAGGCTAAATAGATTCATAATAAAAGATTTAAAATTAATATTTTATGGTCCTTTTAAAAGCATGCAAATCCTTGCCAATATAGATCTCTCAAACTCTCATTCTTAATGAAAAGAAAATAAAAAACTCTAATTCTTGGAGTCAACTCTGACAAGGTTATGATTTTGCAGCGTTAGGCAGCACTGGGTCTGTTTAACGACTTAGGCTCTAAAGTCGCGTTTGATAACTAAAACAAAGTATACATCAGAGTTAAATTTTTAACTTAATAATTTTTTATAAAATTTTATTAAAAATAAAATAAATAAGTATTATATCGTATTTCTTTATTTTAATGTATAATATGTGAATATATATATATATATATATATATATATATATATATATAAAATAGAACATGAAGAAAAAAAAAAGAACAAGAAAGACATTGAGTAGAAAAATAATCCATTTTAATTTCACTGAAAAAGAGTAAAATCAAAGAAAACAAAACATTATAGCTAGAATGTTTCATTTAGCTTTGTCTGCGCATAAAATGCTAACTTTGCCCGTCTTTAGAGTTCACATTTGATTGTTCATTATGTGATTAATTCAATTTTTGCCTTAATCTTATTCTCCTTCACTTGTTTAAAACTATGCCCATTATCTGTCACCCAGAACAAGTCTATCAATAAGGCTATATTATATAGCTTTATCAACACCGTCATAATCAGTTCAATCATTATCATCATAATCAACAATTTGTTTATTAGTTACTTGTCCTTGCAATTATATTATATGAATAACATACAGATGTATGTAAATATATTTTGGTCCTCACTCACTCAATTATATGAATGTAAAGAATTAAAAACAAAACTTTATATGAAGCTTGTTTAACTAGCACATTAATATTTTACGAGGATCAAAGTTGGGATTGCATAGCCACCTCCCCATTATCCTTCTCGGGATTTTTGTTCTGTTCCTGTGCACTGATGATTGTAGGGCCCCAGCAAGTAGACCCAATAATTTGTTTCACATGCATGGAGATTATAAACATACCATCACTATCGCCTGCAAATTAAAGAAATAATAAACTAGGAAATATTTAATGGTTGAGAAGACTTATTGAATGTGTGTGCACATGGACAATCAACGGGGCTGTGAGTATCTTGTCCTTATGTATGAATAAGCAAGTCCTAATATTTGAAAGATATTCCATTTTCTGCTATAATAGAGACATCGCTGATTAATATGACATATGAATCTTTTCTTCCAATTGGTAAGATAACTTGTAAAATTTTAGCCTTTTGAAAGGTAGTTGGAAAAACGGTATGCTGAAAGGGAAATTAAATCCCACTGTCATGGCAGCTGCATGCTTTGAAATTGAAACTATTTGACTTGAGCTTTGTTGATGCCCATTGCCAAATAAAAAAGAGTAACCTACAAGAACTTTTTTCCTTTGAAGCTAGTTTTCACCTTGCATTAGTCAAAGGGTAAATAAATATAATACAAACTCTATGTTTGTTTCTAACTTTCTATATACTTAATTCTCTAGCTTTTGGATTTCCAAGCAATTACTATCCTCAACTTTTTATTTTATTTAATGAAAACTTTATGTTTTGAAAGGTTTGGTGTAGCCACTCAAATTTTTAATGAATGTTGAATGAATTTATATGCTAAATAAAAACACAATAACGAGAATGCAGGATGCCTCATAGATAGCAGGTTTGTGTTGGTCAAAACTGTTTCACTACTCTGAAAGGAAACAAAAGAAAAGAAAAGAAAAGAAAAAAACTTGTTTGTGGGGTGGGGTGATGAACAAATTCTACGTGAAGGATGCTTTCTTTCGTTTTCATATTTTTTCCCTCGGTCATTCCCGTCATGTCTGTGTGAAGTGAACACCTCATGCCTCTCTTTTTCATCTTGCTACTTTCACTTTCAGGATCAGTACATGTTGATGCCCACTGAGGGGCCCATTATCTGGTGCAAAGCTTTTAGAGGCATAGGCCCCATGCTAAGGACATGCACACACAATCCTTTTGTTTTAAATTGGTACAAATCGTGTCACTTCCCAATACACCACAATTAAAATATCCTCTTCTCTAAATCCATTTTATTTTCTTTCCTTTTTCTTGGACTTTCACTGTGCCCTTACTAATATGTTGGCTGAAGAAAGCTGTTAAAAATGTTCTTTTTTGTGGCCTTTGAATTTCTTAACTAGTCGGTGGTGTGGCATAAATGTGCCTATAGTGCCTACAACTGTTTAGCTGGTGATCAAATCCATGTCTGTGTGGTGTGTACAACTGGATGTGGTTTTGAAAGAAGCAAATCACAGGAAGACAAGTATTGTATACTTTGTTGTCATGAGTCATTGAGGGTGAGCTCAGGTTTTTCAAAAAGTGAAAACAATCTCCATCTGTAGGAGACAGTGACAGACACCCATTTAAGAAATATGGTCCCTGGTGCTTTGATAGTGAGAGAGGAAAAAAGATGGAAGTTCAATGGATTCTCAATTTGAAAAGGATCAAGTGAAAAGCTGACTGTGTAAAAAGAGAGAGAGAACAAATCCCGGACATCCAAAAGATATTAGGATTTGAAACTATTTGAGTCACACGCACGCTCCATAAACTTAATGCCATGCCAACTATTGAAGTGAGGGTACAAAACCTTCATTGAAACTTGAATGAAGAAAAATAAAAATTTTATAAAGAATGCTGTCATCAATTGTATACAGACAAAAGTCACAAGCTACATACAGATCCATAATAACTCAAGAATTTTGTAAGGAGAGAAGCCTTGGAACAAGCCTTATTCTGAACTAGTGTCTCTATGTTTGATTAACAAAATGGTGGGAATAAGAAGCTGGAATCAATCATCACAAATATTATACTGTAACATAATCCTGGTGATTTTTTTTCTTTTCTTTTTTGGGTATCAGACACATATACAATATGGAAAGAAAGTTTTTTACAGCACACACACCTGTGGTCAGAACTCACAAGAGAAAATTCTGACCTAGTTCATATTGAAAAGTCTGCATCTTTGTCTCTTTCTTTGAATTGAAGTTTCCACATATTACGTACAGGCTACAGGGTTTGTCCAAAAGTCACTGAAAATCTCGGCAGATCCTTGGTATATATATCTGAAAGTTGAAAAGCTGGTGGGTGCTGTTGGCTATGGTGCCAACTAGTACATGACTCATCTGTTACGAATCCTGCTTCTGGTTTAACCTCACTGTAGATAGATTGAGAGGTTTGGTTCTGCACTGTGTTTCCCAGAATATACGGGGTGTTAAGATATTCAGACCATTTCATTTCTTCTTGTTCTGCGTGTAGAGGCATTTGAACGTCTTTGTTAACCTTCATAGACTCTGTCACCCCCCATGTTAGAGTGCTGTTGTCAATGAAGTTTGTGCTGCTTTCTAACTGAGTATTGCAACTGCTACCATTGTTTTTGTTTGTGCTGTTACTTGTTTCCCAGTTGTGAACCCCATCAATGTCTCCAGAGGATATAGAAGGGTTGTTGTTGTTATTAGAATGGAGAGTAACAGTGGGTTTTATGTGTGTTGGAGTTGGGAAAATTGAATGGAGCATGGTGGAGGTTATGGTAGAGTTAAGGTCTGACATCACCTGGGAGGAAGAGGTGGAGGATGGAATGAAGCAAAGAGAGGTGTTGGAGTTTGCAGAGAGGCCAATGTTTGTTCCATAGTTTAACTGTTGGAAGGAGAAATATGATCCTACCATATCAGAAGGTCTGCAACTGGTGGTGATGGAACTGTCATGGAACCTATCTAGGAACAGTTCTTGGGTGGGTGGGGTGCTGCAGGTTAAATTGCTGCTGCTACTGTTGTTGCTGTTGTTGATCTTGGAGCCAGTGGAAACTTCCAGAGGATATCTATCTGCAGGCATGGAAGTTGGGATGGGTTTTGGTTGGTGATCAACCAAACTGACTTCATTGGATCCCACTGAAGCTTTGTGATTGCTTTTGTCGGTTGTGGGTGGCTTGTCCTTGTCACTCTCAACCTCAGAGAGTGGTTTGTGGGTGTTTGGGTCAATGCCTCTTTGCCTCAGCTTCTTCTTGAGGCAGGAATTCCATAGATTCTTAATCTCATTGTCAGTTCTTCCCGGTAACTGTGCTGCAATCTGCGACCACCTGATAAAGCACATGAAAACCAATGTTTACAATCTAAAGGGATAAAAGTCAAAAGCAACAACTATATGTTGAAAGACATAAGAAAAGGGCTTGTGAGATAGTTATTCCTTCAACATAACTATATAACTGAACTACCTGTTTCCAAGGACTGCATGTAGTTCAATGATCATATTCTCTTCTTGCTGCGAGAATGCCCCTCTTTTCAAATCAGGCCTAAGGTAATTTATCCACCTCAACCTGCAGCTCTTCCCACACCTCTGCAAACCTGCATGTACAATTAATATCACACATAGAAAAGTTGTTAAGATTCTCTTCTCTTGTCTTTTCCTTCATTGTGCACAATGAAACATCAATGAAATGAGTATAAAGTGTGGCAACAAGTAACGCATATATAAAGAACTAGGCATACCAGCGAGTTTGGGGACTGAGCTCCAACATCCATGACCATGCTTGGTGATGTAGTTCAAAAGCTTTTCATCTTCCTCTGGAGACCAGAGGCCTTTCCTTAGCTTCTGCTTGTAGCAACAAGAGTGCCTTCCCATGTGTACGTACGTCAAGTCTTCAATCCCACCACCAATGCTTTGGAAACTCGTGTCCAAGGAAGAGAAAGGGAGGTTTGGTGGGGTGAGGAAAAGTGTTAAAGAGGCACTTAGTTAAACAGGATTATGCTTTAGACAAGCAAAGTTGAGAAAATAAAATGGCAGCTTCATAGGGAATCGAATAAATAGCAAGAGCCATAGAGTTAGAGGTGATTGGACACTGCACATTTTTTAATTGATTTTTTTATCGCGTGTCCAATAACATATAATATGAAATTTAGAAATAACTTTTTATAATATTTAATATTATTAATGTATAAATTTTATGATTTTTTTTATTTTTAATAAAAATTATTGTACATAAATTTTTATTGTATGTATTTAGATATAATTTTAAAAGAACATTTTGAATTTATATCTGACTTTCCTCAACTGGCCTCCTCTCCCTTCTTCACGGGACAATCCACATAATCAACACGTTGGTCCCACAAAAAGGGTCATTATGTTCGAACGGTCCTGATGCCACCACGCTTCATATGCTTTGGAAGCATAGGAGAGTACCATACAAGATTATGTGGTTTGACTTTTATATATGTAAATTTGTGTCTCATTGGCATTTTCTCAAGAGATCTAAAATTTTAACAGGAACAAGAAAGTTTTCATCCTCATGTGACTGCACATACTAATATATGGTAATTAAATTGTTACTTGCTAGTTGCTATTAAGCTAGCTAGGAAAGTTCTCACTTTTCACCGACCCCTTGGTGGTTATGTACCATGCTGCTTTGAACTCAGTTATTATCTCGCGTGTTTGAAACTTCTCGAGTGTGACGAAATGTCCCCATTCCCACATGATATGGTATATAATAGCAAGAAGATAGAGAGAGAGAGAGAGAGAGAGTGATGGAAAAAGGAGTTAACTATGTATGGAATTTGAAGGAGTGGCTTTGCTAGACTAAACCTTACTCCAAAAATAGTAACGTGAAATATAAATTGACCACAAGGTTTGAGAAGGGCAAAATTCTCGTGGACAAGTAAACACTGAGAGTAGCAAGGTGTGCAAAACAAAGTATATTGCATTAAATTGATGATAACAGAACCTTCTCTAGGTTCTTTTGTTCCCTTTGGTGATAATACTCAAAATTTTGAAAACTCTCTGGCCCTTTTCCTTTTCTTGACTAACTTTTTCTGCCAGATACCCAATGGTAGAAAACTGCCCTTCTCTTCTTTTTGGCTTTTTGGGATGATTTTTCAAAACCATGATCGTTTGGAAAAGTTTCATCATTTGGGAACAAATGCAAAATTGCTTTTGACATCTGTGCAGGCTAAGGTCATATTTCTTCCCTTAGAAACTGCTGAAAGTTCAACTAACTATCCGAATGATTCATCTTTTTTGCAATTTGAAAATTACGTATCTTCACAATTAAATGTGGTTTTCTTCAATGTCAATTTTCTGACTTCATACGACTTGTGTGTTTGTGTGGTAAGATACTAAAACTGTTGTTTTTTTAGGTAGGGTACTAAAACCAAAGTTAATAATGGAAATAAACAACTGTACTTGGATATACAAACGCGACAATCACAATAATGCAATTGTCCCTTGTTTATTCTAGTCTCTCATACATATAAAAAATCAGACAATTTTGGATGATCATATATTACAAACCGCAGCCACGCTCAGACGGTCAAAACTTTTATTCCAACATGCAATTGATCTGAGGTATTGTATGTGTAATATTTTCTTCTAACTTCGGTCTAAACGGAAGAAGAAATAGCGACCAAGGTAGATACACAAAATCTTACCAAGAGGGAATGTTGTTAGAACAAAGGGGTTGGTCGTGTCACTTCAAAAACACAACAGAATGGCAGACCAAAAATGAAGGGGGAATTATTCATCTAGCTAGTAGCTATTGCATAGACATACAATAAAATTTTTAAAAAATAACCAAATGATTATGAGACAAAGTAAAAAAGGTTGTGTTTGGGAAGAAAAAGGTTCAACACTTAAACGGTTTTGCTTTAATAGTACCATTTCCCCCCTCTAGGGACAAATCACAAAAGCAAAGCAGAGAGATCAAAGGTCCAAACAGGCCACTGTATGTGTGTCATTCCACAAGCTTTCTGACTTTAATCAGACAATGTCAATTTTAAATGACCACCCTTTTAACTACGAGATTCGTGTCATCATTCAGGATTCCCCGACATGTAAACTAATAATAAAAAAAGAAGGGGGGGGGGGGGGGGGGCTTCATTCTTGCATGCATAAACCGCAATTCTCTAAACTCGAGTCTTCACTCTTGACTTTGGCTACTTCAACAATAAAAAAACTAATAAGAAAAGAAAATTCCATCACCATTTAGTTAAATCAGGAGCTAGTTGTCATGCAATGTATGCTTACTTAAGCTTCTGTCATCAAGTAGTAAAATAGTAAATTACTAAGCTTGTTGATTAATTTCAAAAGTGCGCGCTTAAAAACTAAGGTCAAGTACAAAATCGTTTCTACGACAAATGCATTGCAAAGTGATTTTTACCAAATCAATAGTTACCTGAGCAATGAATTAATTCAGAGACAAATTCTAAGGGGAGACAGGTAAAGAAAAATAAAACAGATAAAAAAATTGTAATAACTTGGCTTTTCTAACAAATTTGATGTATACCCCCCATAATGCTTGGGTTAGCACATGATGTTGATTTAGATGTTGTTCGATTAGAAATATATTTTAATTTTTACAAAATAAAGATTATGTCTTTCATAGAAGTTAATCGTTATAAAATTAATTGATGAAATTTACCCGACATTCATTGAGAAAGAACCAAAATATTTGTGGTGGGATCTCAACAGAGATGATACGTGTATATAACAAAATAAATTAATGTATGGCATATAATTTTGTCATTCAATTTTGTGATTAGGGGGAGGATAATACAAAAAAGTGAATAAGTAATGATTTAGTGATTAAGAAGGTGTTAAAATGAGACAAATGCATTTCTACCAGGATATAGGAATCTTTCATTGTGATCCTCATCACACTATAACTATTATGGCCATCGACATGAAGGGGGAATGGGGGATAGCACCTTATTATCTATATTACATTCTCAGTTCCGAGTGTCTCCTGCCAAAACACACTGATTTCGTTAGATTACCGTGGTGTTAATTTGCTTCGAGAAATATGGACTTGTGGTGATCGAAATGCAATTGCTCATTCCCTTTAATTAGTTAAAGAACGAGGATTAAATAATTGAAGTTATAATAAAAGGTTTGTTGGTATTTACGTTAATCATTATAGTTAGGACTCAAAGTAAGCTAAAAAGCCAAAGAACATGCGACGAGAGTTGAGAATAAATTGCTTATTGTTACTTTTTCAATAGTTGCACTAAAAGTAAAATTAACTAGCAAGTGTATTAGTATAGTTGTAGCAAGTTATAAAATTTTGGAATCAAGTTTGAGTCTCAAACATCGTCCTCAAAAAATAGTTTTCTCAAATATCACTTCACAATTCAATAATTAATTAAGCTTAACACAATTTAATTGGAGTTTATAATATTTGAAAGCAAATTAACAAGTATAGAATTCTAAAATTGCAATAGAGCAAAAGACACAAATTTTTATATGAAAACAAATATATGAAGCATAGTTAGGGGTTTATTTCACCAAAACTTCCGTGCTGACTCAATCAAGTTCTGAACATTCAAGCATTTGAATTGGTTGACAATCAGTTTCACAAATTATTAATCAAAGGTTAATTCCTTAACTCAATGATCCTAATTCTTTAGATATGGTTCAATTAAATGTTGCCTTAAGCATTAGAAACCACAAGATTGCAAGATTAAGATGACTTATCCTTAAGAAATCAATAATTTTGGTAGTTAATTCAGATTTGAGAAACAAATTCAACTTCCATTGATAAAAGCTTCTGTGTTCAGAATATTAATTTTTCATTCAACAACTACTTTATTAACATAATTAACTACTCAATCCAATCAAATACTCAAAGTTTAGATCCAAAATCAATTCAACACTTCCATTTCAGATCCATAAATCCCTAACTACAAAAAGTTTAGACAGCCATTACAAAATGAAAAGAGAAAGAAAGAGAAGAAGAAGATGAGCGAATAATCATCTTCAATCCGATTTCTCAAGATGTGAAGCTTGATGTTCATCCCCAATATCTCTCTCAGACTTTCTCAAGACAAGAAAATGAAATGAAAACAAAAAATGAAGAAAAGATACAAACACGCAGAAGCCTTTCTGGTAACCTTCATAACTGGAACAATCATTTTTGTTTATACTAGTAGCAATGTAGAGATGGATTGCCTCTAGTAACATGCGTGTGTTCACTTTCATGCAAAATAGGAGTCACTCGCAGCCTATTCTATTGGAAAGCTCTCTGAAACAATCACTATTATTTGAAATAGTGATAACGCGTAGCTAGTTTTTCCTTTAGATCATGCGCGTGATCACTTTACTCAGAAATAGTGATCACACATAGCCTATTGTCTCTATTCAGACTTGCGTGTGTTCACTTTGCTTAGAAATAGTGATCACGCACAAGTTGTTCTTCTCATCCCAACTCTGGAACAATCACTATTATTAGAAATAGTGATAACGCAAGATCTCTTTTCATGGGCATGGTTACTTTTGTTGGAAAAAGTGGTAACTCACAAGTCAGTCCTTGAAATTAGACTCTGGAATGATCACTTTTCTATAAAATAGTGAAGCCCAACAACTAGCTTCATTAATCCTTATTCTTTATCTCCAAAATTGCTACTTTTCTTCTACATTTCTCTTGATCTTCCATCCTTATGAACTCAACTCAGAGTTTCCTACAAAATATGTTCTAATCAGTAATTTTCACACAGAAAATTCTCAAAATCTAAACAACTAAACTATTTAGAAAAGAATTGAACATTCTATTATTTTCATGAGTTTTTCAGCTTTCTCCATCATGTTTTGTAATCAAATGTATTAAAAACTAAAGTAAAATACTAGTAAATTAAGGATTTATCACTTACATGAAAGAAAAATAAATATTTAAGTTACTAAAAAGGCGTTTTCATAACTTTCACTTTATATTAAGGATATTATAAATAAATATTTATAATTCTAACTTAATTAGTTAAAGGATTCCTGGATTAACTATC